AAAAAAAAAAAAAAAAAAAAAAAAAAAAAAAAAAAAAAAAAAAAAAAAAAAAAAAAAAGAAAAGGAAATATCGCACTTAAACTATATTTCTCTCGCACGAGCCCAAAAAATCCCAACTCAAAAGACACCCCTTCTCCGATTCACCCGTAATGAAACGTTGGGCGAGCGCCTGAACATCGCTTTTAATTTGCTAAGTAAGTCGATCACGCGATCGGCCCGCCTCTGTATTGTGTGTCCGAAGTTGAAAAAGAAAAAAACACCCAACAACTTCGCTCTAATACCCGAAAGTAGCCTCTCGAGCAAAATTGGCCTGTTAAAAGTAACTGCGCGTATACTCCGCCGCCCCAAAACCCCCGGCAATTACGCCCGTCGAGACGGCGATATTGTATAATCGAATCAATCAATTGTACCCACATGCGTCAATTTTGAGTGACAAGCGGTATATATTTTTAAACTTCTTCGCCGAAAGTACACGGGAGAGTCGCCCCAGGGGCGGAGGGGGAGGCTCGTCAGGTTTCACAGTGCCAAAGAGCGAAGAAGAAGAAGAAGAGGAGGAAGAGGAGGAGAGAGTAACACATGCTCCGGTGCTGGTCACGCAACGCAGTAGCCGGGGGCATCCTTGATCTTGACATTTGCGCGCCGATCGCGATAACGCGGCCGCTCGGTTGTGGGATCCACGCGATGATAATGACGATGCGCGAGGAGGAGGGGAGGTTCTCCTACCTCTCCGCGGGAATGTGCGGCTTTAACGTGTATATTTCGTATACTCTCGAGTGGGGGAGAAGGAGCTGGGAGATCGTGACGTTGGCTGAGTGCACAGGTGGCCTCTGTGGCATGCATGTGGGTAGGGGTGCTGTACATTCCTCGCTTTTGTTGGTGTTACCGATCGCGTTGGTCTCATGGAAATGGATCCAACTATTTGTACTCTTGTGGGTTTAATTGAACAGTTTATGGTGCCTATAAACGTTATAGTGTCTTTACGCGTATATGAAAAAATGTCACGTTGGTTAACAAGATGGACGAGAAAACTTCCCTGGTAGAAAATTACTACATAAACTGGCTAGAAACTCGTCAACGTACATACGTCAATGGGCTTATAACATCTTGACGAGTTTCTAGCCAGTTTATGTAGTAACGTTTCTACCAGGGTTATGTAAACAAAAAATATTATGTATTGTGCACCAGAGCAAAAACTGTAATGGCAACACATCTCAATGTTCAATTCGCAAAATAGGTGTTTTGTTTACTTTATGCATTTATTTCTTTTTGACAGATTATCCATGAACGATTTACATAAATGATGAGATGCTGTGAATAATTTTTCTAAAGTATTTAACGATTGCAGAGAAAAATACATAGTAGTGTGTGTGTGTGTTTGTTCCAGAACTATAATTTTTGTTTTTGCTCCTTTTTGTGTAAAATAAATTTTTTTGTTGCTAGGAGTATAAAACTGATATTTTCACTACTTTGAGTTGTACTTGCTGTTTTAAACATTTTTGTAGAAAAAAATGAACGATACAAAAAAGTTGTTTTTAATAAGATCTACAATTGTCTGTCGTAACACACTTGTGCAAAGCTTTAATATGCAAAGTAACAGCAAATAATCCGATTTTCTTTTTTTCAGAAGTCGGTAGTAAAATATTTTAAAATTTTTCTAAATAAAGAACACTGAAGCACCACACACTCTTGAGGAGTAATTATACCTAAAAATGACTGCTCGAAAATTTGATTGTAGCATCTTAAATGTATCATTTATGGGAAACACTTCCTTAATGGTCAGGCATCCGATGACGTCTTTTACTCAGTATATTTTTTAAGTATAGTAGGGAAAAAATAAACACCGCCATTTTGTATGCATAAGAATCTAACGAGGCGATAAAAAAATGCCAGAGAGTCATGCAATCTTTGTCCCATCAGCTATTAAGTAATCTCAAGTGGGCAAAAGTTGAAAAAGCAAAAAGTGTCACATGCACCGTCTTTCTCGAATTGAAATTCGTTTTCTGGGAACATTTACTCTTGTAAAATTCGTTTGCATAATGTATACAAGGAAAAACAAAAGTCACGCTTTCAGCAAAAACCATTTGGATGCCGGTAATTATAGAACTTCTGCGAAACTACTGCCGAACCACAGTAGTATATATTACCATCACTCAAAGCTCGGAGTCAGCAGTTGATCAATTTCCCCCCCCAGTAAAACTGTAGCTCAAAGTATCCAACTCATCCTAGCCTAGTCCGATGCACTTACGTAAAAAGAGTGTCTCTTTTAATACTCTCCGATATCGCACACACGCGGCGTTTACGCTGCACCGGATAAAACACGCCCCTTTCACGCTCGCGCGGTTATCATATGCGGTGAGTGTAGTACACGTGCATAAGGAAGTAGATCGCGTGCGAGTACATTTTCTAAGTGTCGAGAAGAGAGGAGATTGCAGATATTGTAAAACGTGTTTATCTTCCGTGGTTGTAGGACACGTGGTGTTACATCGAAACAGTATCACCTTTTTGAAAATCAACTTAAAACGATAATGTTTTACATAAAACATTCGGAAAAAAGTAATATATCGTGCAGTACAGGCAAATCTCAAAGAGCACAGGCCTCGGCTCTTTTTTTCCTCCCCCCCACTTGTCCTCTCCTCCGCTGTACGGATTATATTTTTTTCCTGCCGAGATATTGATTGTTGCTTTTTATTAACGTTACATTAGAGTGGCCCTCTCTTGCGAGGGACGACGGAGGAGGGGTTGCAGGAGCGGCGGATAAGCCAAAAGAGGGAGGGAGAGACGCAGAGATACGTATAGGGTGGAACTGTATTTACGATTGCGAGAGGGGGGAGTGGCTGCGAAAAAGAGTGGAAGAAAAATTAGATATCGAGTGATGGAGAGAGGGGGAGCACGCGGAAAAAAGACGAGGCGATCGGGGAAACGGAGGGGCAACGGTGGAAAGGGACGAGCGGAGACGCGGATAAAAAAATTAGAGAAAATTGCGTGCTAGTGGAGAGGAAAGGGAGGGAGGAAAAATGGCGAGGGTACGGAGGAGGGAGGGAAGGTAATGGGGAATACAATGGGCAATAATGCGAGTAGGTATAGTGCCATAAAGAAAATAGTCTGCGCAACGTGTATGGCTGCACGGGGAGGGAAAAAAAGGCCGCTGGATATTGTTTCTACTTTTCTAATGGCTATTGCCATCCTGGGCTTATTTCACCTTTTTATTATTTCTGTTATTGTACTTGAGAAACACTAGCGATTTTCCGATTCGATTTCAAGTGTACGAGTATTTTTGAAAATTTTGTTATTGATTTTAGTTTAGGGTTATCATATTTTTGTCCTTTATTTTTGTTGCCGGCAATTGCTATTGACTTCAGTATTGATATCAAACTTGGAACGAAATCTAGTATCCAAGGAGACGATTGAAAAAGCGATTCACAAGATATGTTGTGCATTCGTTACAGCAATCGTTGAACTTTGTGCACGTGCACCAAGTATATTTATCGCTCGATTTATCGTGAATCCAGTTATTGTCGATGAGTTTTACGTGAAGAGTCTAAATAGCTCTAGATTTCAAAATTATTTCAAACTGATTTCATCGACTACTTTATAAACAGTTAAAACATGACTTTTGTTAAATTACATTTATTTTATCACAGTAGACTTAGATCTCAACTCCAGAATAGATCAATGATTTCATTGATTCCGACTACGGGAACCATTTCATAGTAAACTCATTTATTTATATTTATAAACGATTCCATGTGACTTATTGTCGTATTGATTTCGTCAAAAAAGATCCAACCCATTCCATGGAATGAGTAACCAATCGAATACTTATTTTACTGGTAAAAAAATTAATCAATTGAAGAAAGAAAAATAGATATTTCATATGGGCAAGAGATACAAAAAGAAGAATAGAAGGAGGTCGCCGGCAAGGTGGCAGGACAAACTCCGATTCGAGTCTACGCCGTCAAAAAGTGCGAGTAGGAGCGAACATAGAGAGAGAGAGAGAGGAGCGAGTAAAAAAGGGGTGGGGATGCAGAAAGAGGAGGAAGGAGTAAAAACTTTGCGGAGAGGGGGAAGATTGATCGAGTTAAGGGGGAGAAAAAGCAGAGAGGACTGTGCAGCCTTTTGTTTCGAGTGCATATTCCAAAACGGCGCTTCCTTCAACTACGTGAGTGTGTGTTTTATAGACTTTATGAACCCGTTCTTCCTCCTTTTCTTCAACGCTTTGCTTTCGTGTCTCGTAAGCGTCTCTGTTCCTCGAGTGTAAATAACTTCCCTGTATACCAGCCGTTTACGAATCGACTTTTGTTTTTCGCTTCTTTTGTATGAAAAAAAAAAANGAAGAGTTTAAAAGATAAAAATTGTATGGGTTCATACTTTATTTTTGCAGGACTTTTATCGCCAATTAAGTCCGTCCCGTAGAAGAAAAACTACATCCTACATATTCCTCAACGGATTTCTCGTTGATTAAATTCGTCAGCCTCGACGACAGACCTTTCATGAGAGGAAAGGGGATGGCCGAGGGCAGGATTAAGAGAGTCAAAGTTCATCTTTCCATATTTATTAATAACTGCGCGACAAGAGAGAAAGAGACACTGGAATAATCAGACGCGCTTTTTTCTCGCGTGACGTAAAATTAAATAAATTAAAAAAAAGAGGACGTAGCGTTCGATCGGCCGAAGGGAAGGGGGAATGAAGAAGCCAAGTAAAAAGGAGACGAGGAGAATGAGAGAGAAAGATCAAATTGAGGATGACAGAGAGACACCCCCGTTTGAAGGAGAGGAAGAGAGGAGCACGTCAACGGAAGGATAAATATGAAGAGAAAAAGGAAGGGGTTACAAAGAGCCCGGCAGCCAATTAATTAATTTCGATTATCAAGAACTTGCACACACCTAGCTTTCACGCCAGAAAATTTTACGTGCAGAGCTGCGAATCTTCTCTTCTTCTCCCTCACCTCTTTCTCGTTTATATATCTCATTACACGCGTCGGTGCACAAATATCCCTGTCCGATGCTATAATACGGTTCCATGGTAAAAAATTAAAAATCATGCGGTAAGAAGAAATCGATATCCTCCACCTTGTCATTTATGAACCTCCTTGAGTGGTGCGGTTTGTTATTGTTATTATTATTATTGTTGTTGTTGTTGTTGTTATATTATTATTATTATTTGGTACATGCACAATTTGCTCTGTTATGAAAAAAAAAAAAAAAAAAAAAAAAACACGGGGTAAGAAGTATACCAATAATGCGAAATTTACGCGATCCTCCCTTTTGCCTTTTTTTTCCTTCCCTCGCGAAGTTTGCAAAAGTTAATTTTAGAGCTCAGGCAGTTTCAAGTTCGACCCTCCCACCCCCCACCCCACCTTATAGCTTCCTCCTCCAGAAGCACGTTTAATTGCCTGGAAGGTTCAGGAAATTTGTAATTAGCATCGACCCCCATTATGTCGATAAATGTTTATCGGTGCTCGTAATTTTGCGAGAAAATTTGAAATTGCTCCGTTTAATTGCGATAATTGCTGCGGTGTGTGTATAAGTACGATTTTCTGGAAAATGTCTGTTCGTTGGTACTCTTTCTTTCCTTGACTCATTAATTTACTCGTCTGATAATGAGTTTATATCGTGTAAGAAACATAAAATGCATCGATCGCTGGAACGAAAAAAAAGGAGCCACAAACAACAAACAGAGACTCGAAGGAAATTCTCATTCTCTTTGACATTTTTTCGCTAACTCGAGCTATCCTTGGAACTTTTCTCTGCTCGCGAGCTGGTAGGAATCCATCTTCCCTCAGCTCTTTCGAAAAAAAAAAAAAAAAAAAAAAAAAAAAAAAAAAAAAAAAAAAAAAAAAAAAAAACCCCCCCCAACGAAAAACGAAAAAAAAAAAAAAAAAAAAAAAAAAAAAAAAAAAAAAAAAAAAAAAAAAAAAAACACGGGGTAAGAAGTATACCAATAATGCGAAATTTACGCGATCCCTTTTTGTGTAAAATAAATTTTTTTGTTGCTAGGAGTATAAAACTGATATTTTCACTACTTTGAGTTGTACTTGCTGTTTTAAACATTTTTGTAGAAAAAAATGAACGATACAAAAAAGTTGTTTTTAATAAGATCTACAATTGTCTGTCGTAACACACNATTTTTAACAAGCAATCAAAAAACTTGCACGAATGACATTTAATCACAAAACAATTAATATTTCAAAAAAACTTGTTTTTGTTTTTTAACAGACGAGGAAATTCAATTGAACAGTAAATTTTTCTTCTTCTAATATTACAGCTCGAGATGTTTTTGCAAATACAGGAAGTTTCGAAGCGAGCATTGGAGTAACGAATTAATCATCGGCTCACTCTTTGGAAAAAATGTATAAAGCCGTACAATGTAACTCGTGATAAGTATAAAATTCATTAATCAAAATCCTAATAACAACACGGAAAATTTTTTTCATCTTACAGAAATTCATGCTTAGCTCATGTAATTAAAGTAATAAAAATGCAAACTCTGTACATCTACACACCACATTCTCATCATGCAATCGAATAATTTTAACAAAGCAAGGGAAATGATTAGTTCTGTTTTTGTTGTGTCCAAGTAATGATGGTACCTTTAGCAAGAGAAAATATATTATACTCATTGTTGCTTTGTTTTTTGACAGAAGTATACTTTGAGTTGTGCCTAGTATTAATTAATAAAAAAAAGGTATTATTTGGTCATTGTACACTTGATCGAATCGTTACTCTAAAATAAATACGTGGCTTAAAAATGAGGCAAGTTCTTATACTGAAATAATGCTAAATATATTCTGATGACCACCTGGTTATCATTATATTGTAGTAGTAATTTGAGGTAAGATAATAAGGATGATTTCATGGAAATGATGATCTTCTTTACAATATCAAAACGCCTAAACTTATATCTATAGGTTGGATTAAATATATTAACACAAAATTTGTTTATTCTCGTCATATTGAACCTGTAATATTTAAATTAAAATATTTAACGATCTAATAATCTTCGTATGCACAAGTTTAATTAAACAAAATAAAAAATATTGAAATGATAATTCTGCACAAAAACACAGCTTTGAAATGGTTACGAGATCAACATTAAAAAAAAAAAATAAAACAAAAGCAAAGAAAAATACCAGGGGACAAAAAAACCTTACGAGCCTTGTAAACGCGATTCAAGTAAATTTTTGCGCGCAAGCACCAGCTAAGCGGCGTTATCTTACTCCCGCGCGTGTACACGCGGCTTCCCCGAAAGGAAAAAAAAAAAAAGAGAGAGAAGAGTGCCGTCGTAAAGCAACCGAGCTAAAACCGAAGAAGAAACGAAATGCAGCGAAACGGAAATATGTAAGAAAAGAAGCAGCAGCTGCAGTAACGAGTAGACGCCTCACCGTCTTTGGTTCATATTGTACATACACGTAAACGCGTGTACTTTTGTACGCGCACTTTTTTAATGGCGTTTCGAAAAATGCATTTGCGCCAATCGTAAAGAATCCCTTCTCTCTCTCTTTCTTACCATAGCCAAGTGTGTGCAAGTCGTGTGATTCTCCGGGAAGATGACTTCGATAAAAGTATGCGCAAAGTCTCGACTGGGGGAGGGAAGAGCGATGCTAATTGCCCCCGCAGCCTTGTTAAGGGAGCCTTCTCTTCGCGTCTGATTATTATCGGACGAGATATTTATTATCAACGCTCTTAGCTTGTTTAGTTTTTTTTTTTTTTTTTTTTTTTTACCCCCCTTGTACAGTCGTCGGAGTTGTCTTGCTGTTGCAAGTTTTTTTCCTTCCTATACACATACTGTGTACTTACAGCTGGTACCCCTTTTCTCTGATTTGTTTTAATTGCGATTACGCTATTACCGAGCGCGAGAATCGAGTGCGTTTGTTGTACTCTTCTTGTTCCCATCCTTCCTTTTTTTTGTGCAATTGCAGAAAAATGGTATGGCTTTGGAAGTTAAATGCTGTTTTTTCGCAGGTAGAGTACTATTTAACTTAGACGTTTGCCGGCCTATAAGATGTTTCTGTTGGTTTTGTGATTACATAGAGAAATTTTTTTTTTTTAATTTAATGAGGGTACTTTATGGGACGAAAAAGTGTGTTGATGTTATTTTGAATCTTTATTGCAAATTGGCATGTGCAAATGCGCTATTAAGATGCTTTTCAATAGATAAACGTAATAATACATCCCCAATACATGAGGCATATGTTTTTATGAAAAAAAAGATTTTAAATTATTATTTATTTACGGTATGGCAGTAACTTTAAGAGCATGCATTAAAAACATACTCACATAATTAATAGAAAAACAAATGTTACATAGGCCAGATTTAATACGTACATTCTTTTGACATAAATTGGTAAAGACAAAAAGGGAGTAAAAACAATAAAAGAAAAGTTTTGTTTTCTTCGAGCACCATGCTATGCTTGTAAAATTTTGAAAATGAAAAAAAAAAAAAACATTAGTATGTGTATTCAATTTCTTTTTTTTATTTTATTCGAAAATCTAATTGTCTTAAGTTCCCTAACATTAATGAATTTGTATCACATATATAAGCCATCGTCACAGACAAAGACAGTCTTCTTTAATCCCTCGCTATATAGTCCATGCGACGCTCTCTCTATAGTTTGGTATGCCATCTGTCTATCTTGCTCTCTTGTGACAACATAACAACATAACCTTTTGTAGTTTTTACCACGCTTATTAATTAATTTATTCTCTTAAAAAGACCCTCGAGATGTTCAATAAAATTAAATACGATCATTAGATATTTTTTTATCATTGATAAAATTTTCATCTAAAGTTAATTGTTAATAAGCGAGGTACATTCAATAGAAGCGCTTAAAAAGACAACAGCCCATAAGCCTACATTTAAAAATTAGCGAAATATAAATATTAATTACTCGGCTCCTAGGAACCCTCGTGCCTTCAAATTTTGACAGTGCCATTTTCATGACTTTAATCATTTGTAGATAAATTTTCATCAATTTCTCATTGTTAATTCTGTAACCGATAGAACTCCCTTAAACTTTAAAAAATTCCTTTAAAAAACCCTATTAAGAACCTCGATCGTAACAAAGTGAAAAAAGTGCTACTCAATGATTTTTTCATCATTTTTTAGCCTTGCATTATTTTAATATCTAATATAGAGTCTAAAGAAGAGTAAGGAGTTTCTTAAAGGACGCTACAATGGTGTACTATCTTTGGTGCTCACCACGATGGTTTTCTAATGTTTTTCCGATTTGCAAATGCAGGAAGGACAAACATGCTGAATAACAAAGAGAAATAGAGCTCAAAGGGTGTGCAAGATTGATTTTGGCCACTACATCGAAAGTTTTCAAGCTGCAGCTCGATGAATGTAAACACAAGCGGCTGTGGGAGAAATAAGTGGAGAGACCAGCAAGGAAAAATAAACTTGGGAGCTTCGCTCTGTTACGTTGTTGGTTCTCTAATTGTTCTGAAAAAAGCCAGTTTTTTTTTTCCTCTCACGCGAAGCGTATCACTGTAATGATGGTGTACCGCTTTTGTGCTTTTTTCTTTTTCTTTTCGTGCACGCATATCTCGTTTGTAGTTGTTAAGAATATTTTGCAAGCACGAGAGCTACAAATAAAAAGCTTTCTTGTAAATTAGAAGCTTGATCGATTGCTTCTGTCGACTATTTGTAGCTTTGTAATTTTTTTTATCTGTATTTTTTTTTTGCAAATGTTTGTATTTTATTTTTTTAATATAAAATTATGTGACATATATATGCATGAATCACAAATATTTCTTAAAATTACAAATTAAAACTATATGTATAATTTTATTCAAATTGATGTCAACCGGATAACAATTTTTATCTAGATGTTTTTATTTATAAAGACAAATGCACCAAAAATTATTTGTATATTCTTTACAATAATTTAATGCAATAATTTTATTTTATTTTTAACAAGCAATCAAAAAACTTGCACGAATGACATTTAATCACAAAACAATTAATATTTCAAAAAAACTTGTTTTTGTTTTTTAACAGACGAGGAAATTCAATTGAACAGTAAATTTTTCTTCTTCTAATATTACAGCTCGAGATGTTTTTGCAAATACAGGAAGTTTCGAAGCGAGCATTGGAGTAACGAATTAATCATCGGCTCACTCTTTGGAAAAAATGTATAAAGCCGTACAATGTAACTCGTGATAAGTATAAAATTCATTAATCAAAATCCTAATAACAACACGGAAAATTTTTTTCATCTTACAGAAATTCATGCTTAGCTCATGTAATTAAAGTAATAAAAATGCAAACTCTGTACATCTACACACCACATTCTCATCATGCAATCGAATAATTTTAACAAAGCAAGGGAAATGATTAGTTCTGTTTTTGTTGTGTCCAAGTAATGATGGTACCTTTAGCAAGAGAAAATATATTATACTCATTGTTGCTTTGTTTTTTGACAGAAGTATACT